CAGCCTATGTTTGGTTCTTAGGAAGCCTTCAGTGAAATGTTGACAATTAGCACCAACACAGGCTTGTTTTGACTACTGAAAACATTGTAACTTGCAATTTTTAGAAAAACAGATGAATCATCCTTTTCTGAAAAAGTAGCTTCACTAAAGAGGATGGCCTAAAAAATTACTGTGCTGTAGCTTTTGTGGCTCTGAGCTATACAGAGTATACCATTTCTTTTGTTGACAGAAAACAAGAGTGTGGTAAGGTCGAGTTCTTACACACTATGGACTTGCTGTCTTTGTGATGTGACCCATTTCAGGAAGAAAAAAACTATCTTGAGTTATCTTGTGTTGAAAGCCCCAAAGATATAAGGTGTGACTAACAGACATGCCTGGGATAGGTATGATATTTGAGCAGTGCTTGGCTTATGTTATCAAAGGAGGGTGCGTTGCTGGATTTGTGGGGTCACCTGTGGATATTCATGTTTCTGTGCAGACAGAGGGCACTCGCTGAGAAGGCAGCAAACACTACTGGAATCCTGGCAGTTCTCTGCCCTTGCTCACTGCCCTAGCTGGTGTGCACAGATGGCTCTAAGCCTTCATCTCTTTACTGGGAAATGGAGAGAGGGTAGGGTGGGGACTGTCAGCAGTTTCTATCTCAGAGGGCTGAATGATGGATGCTAAGAGCTCCGAGCATGCAGCCTGGATCACAGTCAGTCTCCACAGCAGCACAGTAGGACTCTGTGAGCCACACATGAGATGTGGAAGCAGATTGGACTAGCTTAGGTGGAGAAATTGGACATGTCCATGTTCACATAGCATGACTCATGTCTACTCCGTTGTTGCGGCTGCTGCTTTCCTGTAACCAATTTTAGAGCCTGTCTTGGCAGCTGGAAGTATTTGGGATTAATTTCACACTTGCTTTATGAGTTGAGTGTTTTCCTGCAGCTCCCTGGGCCTCTGCCTTATTACTCTGGCATCAACTGATATGGCCATCAGACAGAGATGTCCTTTGGGGTCTCTGTTTTATTTGGAAACCATCAATTTGCAAAAGCAAAACAAAGGCCATCAGCACATTGTGCTCGAAGTCGTTAGCATTTATTGTTTCCTATAGGCCTCCCTTCTGTAGTTGCAGGGAACACTAGGGAACACACAGCTTGCTCAGACAGTCATGAGCCCGGAAAAAGAAATCACTCTCCCTCAAATGTTAAGTCCCAGCATCTGGTTGGCTTCATTTCTCAGTTCCAGGTGATCTGAGAGATCTTCTGGGCCTTGGTCATTCAGATCTGAATCTTGATGGGTCTTCCAACTCTTTTTAATATGCTAATTCTGTTTAATTCATTTTTAATATGCTAATTCTATTTAATTCATTTGGCTTCCATGGAGAACAAAGTAAACTTGGCTGTTACACGCAAAACTAAATTGAGAACATGGAGATCTGTTTAGTATTTCATGCTGGCCAGTAGGTCAGGGAGATTTTCCTTGGGGGTAATTTACATAAGGAATTGTTTATCCCATTTCTTTCCAATTTCTATGACCATTTGGGAATAACAGACTGTTTCCACAATGGCACAGAAATACATCCAGGGAGACTGAAACGGTGAGAGACAGTGCTTCTCCCAGATTGATGTATCTTGGGCCTTGTTCTGGAAAGAGCCTGTGGCTTGGGCTGCTGTCTCACTAAGTTATTCCTTCACTACAGCTCCACTTAGTAATTGGGTGGGTCCGTGAACTGACATGTTGCTACACTGTGAGAATTTTCCCTTGGTAGTAAGGAACATGCATAGAAGCTTCACCAATGTCCCACAAGCATTTGTTCTGGCTGGTGGTGCTTTATTGACTAACATGGATACTCAGAATACTTGGTGCTTTCAGAGTTAAGTGCTTGCCTACCACCTGAGCATTCCCCATGACCAACCTCTTGATGACTGCGCCTTCTCCAGCAGTCTCGACTTTGTTGGAGTTGTGTCCTCTTTTAAAGGCCGCTTCCTCACTACCAGTGTGTTGGGAGGTCTCCCTTCTCAGTGGTATGCAGATAAATCTTTAACATGCCTTTGGTGCAGAGGGCAGAGGGAGCTGACTTTAACACTCTATGAGTTTTCTGTTGTAGCTAATTCCAGTAGCAGATTTCAAGCTGTCGATGTAAGGTCTCCGAGTATAGAGTTGGAAGAATGTGCAGTAGCCTACTACTGTGAAGTGTTAACCAAAGACAGATAAACAAAGTAAAGATTACCACAAGACCTACATAACGGCAGCAGATAATGAGTTTGGAGTATTTATTAATCCTTTTTTGGTAATTTAATTTCAAGTCCTATAATTTTTAGTAATGGCCATATGAAATGACTAGCTTGCAAAATTCCTGAGAATTGAACACTTGGTTCCTTCTCTTGATCTGGGAGGGGCTCACTGAGCCAGCTCCAGTGTGCTTCCCCCTCCACATGCTCCCCCTCCCTGAAGCCTGCCAAGCTGAGCTGGAGTTAGGATGCTCATCTCTGAACCTACAGCATGCCTACAGTCTCAAGCAGTTTCGGCAAGACAGACACCAGTGCTCAGTTCTGCTCTTTGACTTACAGGACAGGGCTGTAGTCAGACTGGCCACCTCACTGGAAGATCTCAGTGCAATGAAAGTGGCCAGTCCTTCTCACTCAGGCAAGAAGAAAGGGATGTTGTTAGAACAGCTACTAAAATAGAAAACCTTTTCCTGTCATCAGTGGCCTGCCTTTCACAATTTCTGACTCAATTTTTTTGTTTTGTTTTATATCTTTTAAGTAGGAAAAAACTTAAAACTTTAGGTTACCGTCAGCTTTATTAGCAATTTTTATATGGTCAAGGTCAGTTTTAAATGCAAGTCTAAAAGCGTTTCATGTACTTGGCTACTATACCTATGTCCTCTGCCCATGTGTGTGCTCCATTTTCCTGATGACTTCAGGAACTTTTCTAAGTAAGCATGGCCTCAGTTTTCTCCTCTGTATAAGAGAAATGATGTCAAGTAGGTACAAGTGACCAGCGACACTGGTCACATGGCACAGGGCAGAAGCCATAGCACACCATTTCTGCTCAGTTAATCCAGGGCCATCTTTAACAGTCGTGTGACCAATGGAGTTTCCTTTGTGGTCTATGGGGCCTCCCTTATACGGTCAGTGTCCGCCCCTCACCCTATTCTTCTTTAGTATGAATCTTTCAAGGTAGTGATTAGCTCTGTCACTGATTTCCTTACAGTGCACTCTGCAGATCCTGCACCTGCCTGGTACCCAGCAGGTGTTTATGGCCTTGATCTTTTTGTAAGTTCAGCTTTTGTCAGGAAGCACCTCCTCTCAGTATCATAGTTCCACAGCGATGCTTAATTGTTAACATTCACAGCAAGACAGGGAGGGTAAGCTCAGACTGTAACAGGAGTCGGTTGTGATCGTGGTCCTGACCACGGGTGCACATGATTTCAGGTGTTACAACGTATGCAAACTTGCCTCTCCCACCTCTTCTAGGAGATGTCTTAAAGTAATGGGAAAGGGATGAGCTCCAACCCCATTTGAGTAAAAGAGGCCCCAGGGATATTAACTCTGGTCCATTGTAATCACTCCCTTGCTAGCTTCTTTTACACTTTCTTTTCTGCACAATTAAGACATTATTATAGTAATGCCTCTTCCCACTAATTGGTTCTGTATGTATGGTTTCTTTTAAACGATTATGAGGTCCTGTGGGCTATGAGCTCCAATCAACTACTTAGAATGCTAGTGGAAAGCACAGTCCTGGGCACACAGGAAGCCATGATTTTATGTGCTACTGGCCTTGGTTCAGATACTGGTTCCCTGGAGAACTGACTGACTGCAATTGGCTTCTGTGACTCCTTCAAGGTGTTGATCACATGGCAAAGAGTCCTGGTGTGAACAGCATGTTCAGGCAAAGATCAGCTGTGCTGTCTTTCCCTCACATCTAGTGTCCAGGGTCTCTCAGACACTCTGGTGACTCTCCCTATGGACCCCCTTTCCCTACATGGAATTTGAGAGACCACACAGCTGTAGACTCTACTTGTTTGAATGGTGATGCTTTAACAAGCCCTCTGGGCCAGTGTCAATAAGCCATGAAGTATCACTGAACGGAGGATCGCCAGTACCAGACTTCTGAATCTCATCTGAGTCCTCAAGCTGGAGGGCATTTGAGAAGGAGCGTACTGCTCCAATGCTGGCTCTTCCTGTCCTGGGGAATATAGACGCCGTGAGTCTCCCGGGCAGCCAGTTCATTACTTTTAATGAGCACAGAATTTACCAAGACATTAAAATAAAGTAGAAACAAGCGCCGATGGGCAGACGTGGATATTCCACCCAATTGTTGCTTCAGTTCCTTTTTCCACAAGATTTTTCAGGAGAAGTTTTTAGGACAGACTCTCTTCACCCCTGCCAGTTTTATCCTAAGTAGATTTGTTATTGCAGACTTAACACACCCTGAGCTGCTTTTTAATACCCTGTGGGTTGGTGGCTAATATTTGTGTTAAAAAATGACAGTTTTCAACTAATCAGATATTTGAATCTTGTTTGGCCTTTTACAAATGTTAAAGAAGTACTAGATATCTCCGTGCCATATCATCTAAAGAGAGATGTGAAAGATGAGAGTCATGTTCTGAAAAAGTGACAAAAGTTATTTAAAACAAAGACTAGTACAGTTATTTTGATTTTTGTTTAATTGATTGCTCTCCATAGCTAATTACAAAAGACTGTAATAGTTTTACTCTTTAAGAGTACGTATCTTCCTCTGGTGAAGCACACACTGAACATTGTCCCTATAAAGCTGGTTCTGTGGATATTTTCTTCCCTGGCCATATGGATTTGGAAGTTACTTGGGGCATTTTCCCAAAGAAGGAAGCTAGCAGATGACTCCAATATTATTCAACGTAACTTGTGTCTATGGAAGAAGACAAAGCTTGTCAAGCTGTTGGAAAGAAAACCAGAAGCGCAACAAATTAAATCTGCAGAGGGCTCGAGGGTTGTGAAATTGTTCCTAACCAGAGTTTGTGATTTCTTCAGGTGATTGCTCTAGCAGATGCGATTGAGGAAAACCAAGACAAGCTGCTACAGTCATTCGCCAGCCTGAAGAGTGCCACCCATTTGCTGATCCTACTAATCAGACTGTGGCAGAGGTTGAGCGCTGACCAGACTGCTATTCTGGAAGCAGCGTTGTTGCCACTACAGGAAGACACGCAGGAACTGGTAAGGACCCACAAGGCCCACAGCCGCATGCCTGAGAAGGTTTGGATTTGGGGGAGGTATCACATGGCTATCTGATTTTTTAAGGCATCAAAAGAAAGCTTGCGTTTCCACAAAAACGCTCTTTTCTTTTCCTTCAAACCATAATAAAAGTGTCATCTGATGGCACTCCCCCCCAAGAGTAGTTTTAAAAATAGGTATATAGTCCAGTTTTATGTAGTACTCAGTCTGTTTTTATGTGCTCTTCAATCTCTGAGAGGCAGGAAAGTAGTCATTTGACAGTCTGAGTGATCGCAGTAAATCCTTCAGATTAGCTAATCCTTCCCGAGGCTGCCAGAGAAAACAGTTCAGTCATTTTAATTTGTTCGGTGTTCTTGAGTTTTAGTGTTACTTCAAAGGTTAGGGGACTGCAATGGCTTTGCTGAGAATGACGGGAAGAGTTGCTTACATTTACAGAGTTCTTTATAATCGTTCATAAAGTCCTTAGAAGAGGCATTGCAGAATGAAAGGGAGAAAATGAAGATGGGAGGTTTTTCACCAAAGAGTCCATTAAACAAAATCACCAAAATTCTTTGAATCATAGATGCGTACAGGACCAAGTACCTCATGCTCTTCTACATGCATTTATGTATGGAGAAATAACAGGTACCTTGGAAACTGGAGTCGTGAGCATAGCTCCTTGTGGTGGTTGTTTCAGGGGGAACCTAGATCTAAGGACACGACTGTAAAGGTAATAATACTGAGACTAACCGTTTTTCCGGCGCTTACAGGTATTTCCCATTTAGTCATCGATGTGGCCCTGGAGATGGTTCAAGTACTGTTCCTATCTCCTGTACAAATAACAAAACGAACATTGTTCTATGGTTAAATACTTCTCTAAGAAGAGCCGGGACTTGGACCCAGTCTGTCACCTCAGAAAGTGTGTGCTTTTAGCCAGATGCCTGTTTAAATGAACATAGTAATTGTTTTAGTTACTTTTCTATTACCATGAAGAGACACCTTCACCAACTTAGGAAAGAAAATGTTCCGTTTGAGGCTCATGGTTCCAGAGGGTTAGAACCCATGGCCACCACAGATGGCTATGAGCTGGGCAGGACAGGGCAGGGCAGCAGTAATTGAGAGCTCACGTCTGAGCCACAAGCACCAGGCAGATAGAGCTAACCAGGAATGAAGTGGACAAAGCCCTCCTCTGGTGACACACCTCCTCCAATGAGGCCACACCCCCCAGTCCTTCCCAAACCTTCCCAACACCTGGGAACCAAGCAACCAAAAATGAGCCTCCAGTGCCCATTCTCATCCAGACTACCACAGTCATAAAAAAAATCACAAGTTTTCCCAGATGCATCAAAATTTTAAGACAATAAAAGCTCTATTTTGTGACCTAAAATACTAATAAATACACTGAAAAGCAGGCTACATGTTTTGGTGGCAAATGATATAAAGAGGCCAACGAAGATTTTTGTTTAAGTCAAGTTGAGCTTCAGTAGCAGAACCAGAGACACTTTTCTGCACAGAGGGAAGGAGCACGGGGTGGGTTGGATTGTTCATAAACTCGCTCGAGAAGTCAGGAAGCCTGAGATCGTCTCTGGTTTTGGTCCTACCGTTAAATGTCCATCACCGTGGTCCTTAGCTGGTCTGAATCACTGAGTCTGTGTCCTTTAGGAGCAAGTTAGGTCCCACCCCCACAGCTGTGAGAGGAGCTAAGGAGGCAGCCAAGTAAAGCACCGGAAGTTAAAAGTCATCCCTGGAACAGGTTTGCCCCTTCTTCCAAATCACCTTCATGATAACTGTGCCTCTCAGTCGTACTTGACAGCAAGAATCATGTCTTGTGTCTGCTAAAGCCCTGGTACATAGCCCGAATTTATTCAGTGGAAGAATGCATAGTGTGAAGGTGGAAGAGACGAACACAGGCAGGGCAGTGCACAGGCTAACATGAGCCCCTTGTATAAAAAGGAGGAGCATTAATGCTGCCAAGGCTGGTGAGATGGCTCAGTAGGTAAGGACAATGGCCATGCACACTCCAGCAACTGAGTCCTGTGCCTGGAGACCAAGTAAAGGTGGATGGAGAGAACTGGTGTTACAGAGTTGTCTTCTGACCTCTGCATATGCACTGTGACAGTCGCCCCCTCTGTCTCATACACACAGACACACACACACACACACACACACACACACAAATAATAAACTAAACATATTTAACTGACAGTGGATCCTTTTTTCTGAATCCTGTTTCATTGTCTTCAGGTTCTGAATTTCTGTGTTTTGTGTTCAACAGCAGACCAAAACATATTAATATATAAATTTTGCCTTGACAAGAGAGAATCTACGTTAGCATGTTTATTATAGTTTGTTGTTATGAGTCCTTGATTTTATTATTAGCTATTGTCAGTTTCTTTCTGTGCCTATTTATGAATCAGGTGTATATGTATATAAAAATATATTTGTTTAGGGTTTAGCTCTGTCTGAGGGTTCAGGCATCCACTGCCAGTTTATTATATCAGGATGAGAGAAATGTACTATCAACAAAGAGTTTTTCTTTTTGCAGTTTGTCTCAGCTTGTCATTTTCTTATTTGATATTTCATGTCCTAAGTAAAGAACAATTAAAAATTGATTTTTGTTAGAAGGAATGAAACTTTCAGGTTTGAGTATTTCATTTTCATGGCTCAGTCGGGTAGCACAGAGTCCCATGACATAACACTTGTATGGGACACAGCATGGGAATTGTGAACCACTGTGTCAAAACCACACAGTGTATGTCTTAAAAGAGGAAGAAATGTTTCTTTTAAGATACAAGCTGTCTTAACATCATAACTTACTACTGAACCTTATAATGTGCAATGCCACTCTGTTTTTCTTAGCAGAGTTGGTTCTCTCCTACCACTGTGTGGGGTTTGGAGCTGATCTGAGGTTGAGTGTGTTCACCATGGAGGTCTTGAAGAACAGCATTTCTTAGAAATATATGAGTATGCTCACTACGTGTGCCATAGAGATCAGAGTCCTATAGAAATGCATGATGTGTTCACCTTGTGTGTCATGGAAGACCAGAGTCCTGTAGAA